AATGAAATGAGGTGGTAGAAACACTACCGCTTTTGTCCACAGGGGCCGCCAGAATCAACACAAAATAGTCCCTTGTAGGGGCTTTAAGTATGAAACTGAAATGAGGATGAATTGCGTTCATTTTTTTCTTCATTTGAGTTCCAGCAGCAGTTTATATTCTTGTTTTCTGAACTCAACTGTTAGTCACCCGACAGAATAAGATATAACATCTGATTGGCTGAAATGCACCAATCAGAGGATAGCAGTGTAAGGGAGTTTGAGCTTGTTAATCTAGAGGGCCTCAGTTGCATGTTGGGCTTGTTTTCTTCCATGCTTTCTTTGTAACTGTTGATGGATGTACAGAAACATAACAGAGGGACTGTCAAATTTTCATTGTGTAATTCTGTCTCAAACTGCTATAAAAAGTCAGATGACAAATTCCTGAACATCAACGACAGTTTGATATTTTCTCTAGTTTGAACCCTCAGGTCCAATAAATTAAAGCTGTGATGACAGAACATGAACACTGCCGCCTCTGTGGGCTCATAGCTGTCATCAATAATGTATTAAAAAAAAAAGATCTTGAGATTCATATTCACAACAAGAGAAGCTTGAACTGAGTGTACAGCCGTTACCTCATACAGACAGCATCAAAGCACTGACTAAACATCAGCTTGGTTGCATAACACCATGTAACCAGATCTACTGGAAGAAGAGGTTTTGCACACACTGTGAAAATTGCATTAATATGGATCTTTCCACCACCAAGTTTCCTATGACGTACTTTTGATATTCTTATCATGATATTAGGAAACCAACAGGGGATAGAGACACAGCAGCTGGGCTCTGAAAGGGTTTTATTGATCTATTTTGTGGCAGTGGGATGGAGATTAAAGTATGAATACAATATCATAACATCGCACTGGCACTGAGGATTTTCTCCAGAGAGCTGATTTATTATACAATATCTATGAGTAAATCTTCACTGTAGGGAAAACATTAGAGACCCGATACAGCGGTGTCCAACTATGATGTTGCTATAAAGTGGCAGTGCAATATCTGGAGGTTATGGAAACAGAATAGTTAAGAGTTCTAGTTTCAAGTTGAATTTTATTTGTATTAGTTATGATCAAAAACTTAATGGCTGACATCGGGGAACACAATGACTTTACAAAAACAGATCAACTGGGGGGAAAACAAACCAGATAGGTTGTGAACTAACAGACAAGTTAAATTAATTTGAAATAGAAAACGAAGTAAAACAGTAAAAGGATTTGTCAGATTGTCTGTAAAATGAATTTTCTGCTGTAACTTTGACCTACAGTGTTTTCTATAGTTGTGTGTACAGTTTTCCAGTGCAGTGAGAGATTACTACAAACATAAATAAAGTGATTTCAGTCAATAAGACATGTCAGTGAATTTATCTTTTATTGCAAATGGTTAGATTTGGCAGGAAAAGGCTGTTTGAAGGAGCTCTACAGTAAAGTGTAGTAGCAATGCCCCAGAAACACTTACTTTTACAAGTCAAAGTCCTGCATTCAAAATTGTATTTAAATGAATGTACAAAAGTATTAGCATCAAAATATACTTCAAAATACTAAAAGTAAAAGAATGGAAGCATTGCATTATAATTATTTATGTATTAATATATACATTACTCTCATGTTGCAGTTGGTAAGGGGCTTATTTTTGTATTATATACTGCCAGATAGCTGGTGAATTTCACTGAGGGATCAATCAAGTCTTATCTTTGTCCAAGTTAATGCATAATACTTTATTTGTTGATTATATTTTGTAATATTAGTCTGAATATGTAGGCTAATTAAAGGTATGAAATAAATGTAGTGGAGTGATAAGTACAATATTTCCCTCTAAATTGTGGAATAGAAGTATAAAGTAGCAGAAAATGGAAATACAAAAAAATGAAAGTACCTTAAATTATACTTGCGTACAGTACTTTGTTACATTCTGCTAAGAGAGCTAATGCACAAACACTTACAGCATCAAATACAGAGAGAGACACGAATATGAGGTCAGCAAGATAACGCTACAGCTTCAGTGACCTGAGGAGGAAGTGGGAGGAACTGCACTGCAATCAGTGATAGAGACTGTTTATAAAAGCCACCTAAAACCCTTGTATGAATATGATTGGATGATAATGTTGTTGTAAACATATGATACATCAATAAGCCTGATGCTGATCAGCTGATTGCGACTGCAGTGAACTAATGCTGTGCTGGATAAACTGTTTACAGCCTGTCTAACGTTCTGATTGCTCGTGCAACAAGGTCGCCATGC